TTTTTTTGCCGATCTTGCTTTATTCTTGTTTTCCCCGAGTTTGCTTAGGCAGTTCTCGGTATCCATCTTTCGGTATCCATTTTCCTGCAGAGTCTCTGATGTTTCTTGATTCGTGTGCTAAATTGTCTCCATGTTTTGCCAATACATTTCTGTTTGCAGGCGCCGCATGATAAACCTTAAACTTCTGACAATCCAATTTTCCTACCATTTTATGTTTCGCCGGTAGAGTCGTGAGTGTTGATTGCTCTTTCATGTCCAACCGAAAATTCCATTTACTCAATATTGGCCGTAGTTTTTGAGTTAGTTTGTAGGAAGATAAGCATATCCACTTTTGTGAATCCCTCATCGGCGTTTCTGTCCTTTCATAGTCCCCGTTCCGCCATCGGCTTTTCACGGCCCGTATGTTTCTTTGTATTACTTGGCTAGGGAGGAATATCCTCGTCAATTTGTCCAGCTCCTCGTCCCAGAATTCTACATCCGTTAATCGTATGCTTTGGATGATCATGCTCCTCATTATTCTTATCTTTGGCCTTTAATTGTGATGGGACTGGAAACGTACTATTATCCTATCCTGAGATTTCTTTCTGAACAATTTCTTCTTGAGCCTCCCATTGGAGCGAATTACTTCAACATCCAGGAGCGGTAACTTCTAACCTTCCTCTACTTCCATCGTAAATTGAATTTTTCCATCAATTTGATTTACAAACTTCAGAAAATCTTCCAGTTTTTCTTTTCCATGTCACCAAAGTGCGAAATAATCTTCCGGGTACCGCATGAGCACTGTCGGTTGTAGCGGTGCCGTCTTGAAGCTGTCTTCTATTTTGTTCATGTATACGTTTGCCAAAAGTTGTGAGGGCGGCGATCCCATTGAAAGTCCAAATATTTGTTCATCGATATTCCCGTTGAATGTGAAATAGGTTGTCCTAATTGTCTTGTTAGCGACCCTCTACCGATCCGTTGTGATTCCATGACGAGAATAAACGTTACTTTGGCCGAGTTCAATTCAAATTGGAAGGAGTGACGAGCATGAGGCAAGGTCGAAACGCCAGTTCACTCGTGAGATACAGGATTTCTGCAGGCAAGGCTATGCGCAATCCTGTAGGTCTATTAATATCATTTAGAGGAAAATTCAACTTCGCTTCAACTTCATCATAATATACAATTGTTATTGTTCTAAGCATCAAGATAAACATTAACCTCTGCATGTCTTTGATCACCTTCCTTTGAGGCTATGCTACCCTATAACCCTTGTTGCTTGTCTTTTTTGGTAATCATTTCTCCAAGCCTTGTTGACGAGGCGTTTTTATCAAGATCTAAAGACTAAATCATGCGGGCAGTCAAATAAACCAAATAAAAGCCCAAAACAGGAGTAAACATGGTCCTTGAGGATATGGCAAACCCTAAGGAGGGGACAAAAGCTTGATGAATGATGCCTCCATGGCATTGGCCCATCGTTGTCTTTTGAGCCGCTGTCATTTGATTGGCTGGCGGTTGACTGCTGATGTCAAGCTCCTGAGGAAACATCTTCACCTTCAGACTGTGAGAGGCGTAAACGAGACAGATACGCAGAGCGTCAAAGAACTGTCTAGAGAAAGGCGTCATGAGCTGTAAGAAAAGAAGAGAGAGGTCACAGTTGTAGAGGGTCATGAACTTATCTCCTCTCGATAATTCTCAGCTCTGGCTAATCTTCACATTAAGCTTTAGCAGTTTCTTCCCCCCACAGGTTTGCAGATTCCAGCTTCTGCTGTCCTCGTCAATTTTCCCACTCTAAAGTTGAGACGAACTAGGACATACTACTTACTAACATGCAGAAAATTGGTCAAGCGATGGACTTCACCTTCGCGAAGCCAACTACTCTGCCAAATGTCCGGGAATGTATCAAGGCACCGGTCTGATGCTGAAATTAATACTGACTACTCATAATGAGGACGTACGGGGGGTACATTCTTTGAGGCCTTACTGAAACCAGCGCCGAGTTGCGAAAAGATGATAGAACCAATTTAAATGTCTAAAATACATTTCTGCTTCTTATGCCAAGAATAATTAGGACTCAGACGGTCTCCGATCCATAATGACTTGACTACTGCAGAGCTTCATAATTTACACTTGGCCGCAAAAAAACAAAACCTTTCCTCCATGCAGCAAAATCGCTTCGACGAATTCGTTCGTGAATTAGCTTGACATTACGTTTCAGTTTGAAGCAAAGGCTTAGCAAGAGTTCTTCGGGATCGCAGGACGATGAGCCGAAATTTCTACAAATAATCCAACATTCTTTACTCTCCGAAGACGGTCTTCCAGCGGCTTTCCGTGGGACCTTCTAACAACTTTTTCATTCGAAACAAAAAGTCACGTCACAATACTAAGAATCAGTATTTTAGACATTCGTACAGAAATCGAGTTCTTCTTCTGCCACCGGCAAGTCACCAACCAATTTGTATAGACGACAAGATCGGAAAACTGGCACAAAGGATAAAAAGTGTGGTTGAAGATCGCCATTTCTATCGAAGGATGTGGATCTTTGACGAACAAGCAAGACGATTATGGCTGATAA